TGGGGGCTTCTTGGTGTGACGCCTGGTTCTATTGCCGGCATCGCCATTCTGGTACGTTTTAAACTGCTTGCGAACTATGTAACTTTTTAATTGGTTTCTTCCTTTCAATAAGGTTCGTTTCATCTTCTCTCCTGATCCTGAGCTTTCCGCTGGGAAGGGAGCTGTGACTGGTATCGACTACAGGAAAGATTTTACCTTGTACAAGATGTTTATCATCCAGAAACTCAACACTCCATATGGGAAAGTGCTATTCGACCTCTACAATCAAATTATCTTCGGGTCGGCTATGGTGAATACGATCGCGAATGATCCAGGAGATGGGGACGAAAGCAGTGGCATTGAGGATGCAACCAATCAATTCCACACACTCTCCCTTGCCCCTGCTGAACTTGCTACTCACGGAAATATCGAACAAGTCGCCCTCGACACTCTTCCCACCAGTTCTAATGCCGAAAAAAGAATCATCAGCGCCGGACCATCGCAGGAGCACAGCCCTAGCAATCCGGCGTCTGTCGCACAGGAACAGCCACTTTCAACAACACGTCATGCAGCTCCATCTACATTGGTCACGCCAGAAGCCAGGGTTGTAGAGAAGTCAAAAAAAGGGAAGGCGAGTGAGAAGGGAACTGTTCAGGACACAGCGGCGGAGGTTGTTGAGGCTGTACCAGGTACTCGCAAGCCTCGCAAACCACGCGCGCGCAAAACTTAGTCACCACTGTCTGTAGTTATGGATGCCTTCAATCTCGTTTGTTCACTGTTATGTTCATCATGCACATGTAAGGTGTGAAGTGCATCGGTGTGCTTTAAGTTTAAGGAGCTCTATATACTGCTTGAGAACCAATTGCTCATTTGTTAACCCAATTTATATAGTAAATATATGACCCGCTGGCATAGCGGTAACTATTGATCACTAACCAAAGGTAAGTAAGACCATAAGCTAAAGAGTTCGAATCCCGACTAATGCAATATAGAATAAATAGAACTACTAAGTAGAATAGAATAGAATAGAGAATAGACACAAGTAAGTACAATACAATAGATAGAAAACAATACTACAAAGTCGAATAGAATTAAATAGAATAGCCTACGACCACTAAGTACAATACAATACAATACAATAGACGACAACGTTGAATAGAATTAGGGACTACAAAATATATAGTAGACTACAAAAAACTAGACTACAACTTTCTCATCGCTTCACGCTTACAATACGGTTGTGATCATAGTACACGTTGTTGAAATTTGGTTAGGACTTGGTTGAAACGATGGTTTGAACATGGTTTCAATCAACCACTCTTCGGTTGTAACCGGTCCGAACGGCCACCAGTGATTGCATCGGTTGGAACTGGCAGTAACCGGCTGTAACCAATATTAGAAAACTCCGACATTTAATGTTAGGACTTTTCACTCACTAGAAAACAAAACAGTATAGTAAAATGTTACACTTTTCTGCAAGCTGCATCCAATTATTTCCAATATCAGATTTCAAAAAGTAATACAAGGGGGGTCCAGGATTTTTGATAACCATATGGGGTTGAGTTTTTTTCTAAGGCCTCGATGGCTGGACTAACAACTGAGACAGTGACAAATATGTAGGGCTACATATGTGTAATCATAGGCACTCAAAACTTTGGAATAGCCTGGAATCCTTGTTTTCATGAAATATTTGCTCTCAATTTCTATGTATGGTGATGGAATTGTATATTCATCATATTGTGTCAAATAAACTTATAATAAAAAAAGCAATCAGTTCCAAAATAAGCATGAACCATATAATTGTCTCATAGATTCTAATTGTTATTTAGAATAATTTTTTGCTTTGGCCCAGGAAATAACAATTAGGATCTATGAGACAATTATATGGTTCATGCTTATTTTGGAACAGATTGCTTGTTTTATTATAAGTTTGTTTGACAGAATATGATAGGGACTGTCATGGATCGGCAAAAACCAGGTATTATCCATGGATATCTGTGATCCATATGCTATATTTGGACAACCTTGGCAGGAGCAGCTCCAATGCACCACTGCCCTTTGTAAGCCTGTGGAACTCATCAATCTCACTCCCTCTTAAAATAAAAAACACCCTTTGATAAATTTGAACAAGAATTCATTGAAATATAATTATTTCTTCAGCTTTTCCTTTGTATTTTACTCTGATTTTATTATTCCACACTATATATGCATTCATAGAATGGACTATGTTACATTTTTTTGACTTGAATGCTATACGGAGATTAATTTGGTCTTGAATAAATTAACAACATCTTTAACAGGTCAGAAAGAAAATGTGTATATGGCAGATCAGTGACAAATGCATACCATACCCATCTGTGAGCATCAAAAATTCTTACAGTGGTTGGGGTACTTATATGTATTTCATACAAAATATGATGCAAATATATAAAGTGCTTATACTTTATGAACCTTCCAAATCATGTATAACACTTAGGTAAGTAGTATGACTACACTAGCATTTATAATGGTATTTGATGCTCATCCTGCATCCAATCATTAACAGTATGCATAAAGAGCAATAATAATAAAATGTGAAATTAATTTGATAGTGGAAATGAAACTAAAAATTCTTTCTCCAAAAGAATTTGGGATGTTTTCAAACATCTGGGAATGGAAGGAGTCTGACAAAGCATGAATTTTGCTGATGACAGCTAGATAATATAATTTAGGATGACTATATTTAATTTGTCACTACTTTTAAGACTCACTTTATGTCTGAATCATGATGTTTGCTCTTCATGCGGATGCTGGTAATATTTTCATGATCATATCATTTTCCACTGTTATTAAATAATGAGCTTCTACTAATATTCACATAGGATATTTATTAGAATAAAAATCTCCCAAACGAGAGCTTTCCAACGCATATTTTTTCATGGAAAATGGTGAAGAACTCGTGAAGATAGATGGAGGGCTGCTCTGAGCCACTATACCCACAGATATATCTGTACTGTGGCTTATCCAATCCACAGATCAGATATGACTATTACCCAGGTGTATCCATGGACAGTCCCTAGAATATGATGAATGTACAAATCCGTCACCATACATAGAAATTGAGAGCAAATATTTCATGAAAACAAGGATTCTAGGCTATTCCAAAGCTTTGAGTGCCTATGATTACATGTTGTCTCAAGTGTAACTAACTATGTGTGGGAATATACTTCCAAATATAGAAATATTATGTCATAATGTCGTGATCTGGCATTCCCTCAGAACATCAAACATCTCACTCCCTTCATTTGTTTCAGGGATTGTTCCCTTGAAGCTTCCAGAGAACTGTGCAAGTGAATGCCAGCAAGCTCGATTGTGTCTGGAAGTATGTCAATGCTTAGGCATGCACAACCCTGTCAACAACACAGCAGTTTTCAGACACAAGATTTTGACATGATCGAGTCTGAGGGGTGGGCAATATTGGTGACTGGGTTTGTGCCTTTTGAGGTAGTTTGCGAATCCAATTGACCACTGTCTTGCAATAAGGACATATCACTTGACATCTTATTAGTTGTATCATATATTTTGGTGCACAATCTTATCTTTCCATTTAACATACTGGTCCTTTGATCTCTGGATCAAAAGGCTTGACGATTTGGATGGATTCAGACTGTTTCCAGGCCAATTGGAGCGAAAAATATAGGAGGTCAAATTTTTTTTGACAGCCTGTTGGCAGGACTAACTAACCATCCCTATATGGCATTTTCAAATCCTGGACCCCCCTTGATGTAATACCATTGCAAAAACTTTGATTAAGTCACAAAACTTTATTCCAATGTTTGTTTACACAAAATGTACTAAATATGTATGCTTGTACCTTGACATTAGTTATAATGATTAAGCATCCAAGATATCTTTCCATTTCATCCTGATCCTCCATAAAATCTTCACTATTCCATGTCCTGCATAATAACCTGTTCTTTAATACCCTGGGTGCATCTAACTAGTACTTACATCTGCTCCATTCTCTATGAGCAATTTTGCAATTGCCTCATAGTCTTCATATGATGCTGCCTGGAGTGCATTTCCATAGTGTCCTCCCTGTGCATTTACATCTGCCCCATTCTTTATCAGCAGCTTTGCAATTGCTTCATGGCCTCCATATGATGCTGCCTGGAGTGCATTTCCAAACCATCCTCCCTGTGCATTTACATCTGCTCCCTTGTCTATGAGCAGCTTTGCAAGTGCTTCATGGCCTCCAAATGATGCTGCCTGGAGTGCATTTCCAAAGTATCCTCCATGTGCATCGACATCTGCTCCCTTGTCTATGAGCAGCTTTGCAATTGCCTCATGGTCTTTATATGATGCTGCCTGGAGTGCATTTCCAAAGTATCCTCCATGTGCATTGACATCTGCTCCCTTGTCTATGAGCAGCTTTGCAATTGCCTCATGGCCTTTACATGATGCTGCCTGGAGTGCATTTCCATAGTGTCCTCCCTGTGCATTTACATCTGCTTCCTTCTCTATGAGAAACTCTGCAATTGCCTCATGTCCACCAAATGATGCTGCCTGGAGTGCATTTCCAAAGTATCCTCCCTGTGCATTGACATCTGCTCCCTTGTCTATGAGCAGCTTTGCAATTGCCTCATGGCCTTCCCATGATGCTGCCTGGAGTGCATTTCCATAGTATCCTCCCTGTGCATTTACATCTGCTCTCTTGTCTATGAGCAGCTTTGCAATTGCCTCATGGCCTTTATATGATGCTGCCTGCAGTGCATTTCCATAGTCTCCTCCCTGTGCATTTACATCTGCCGTCCTTTCCAACAAAACATATGATGCTTCAGTTAGTCCAGCCAGTGATGCATAATATAGTGGTTTAGCAATCTCATCCCTATGTCTTTGTAGATCTATATCATATGTATCTATATCATAAATTCGAACCCAGTTCACAAAAGCATTGTCTTCATCTGTCAGAAGCTTAATA